CCCCCCCCCCCGGTCAGGTCCTGTATTCTGGAGGTTTCCTAACAAACAAGAGGAATTAATGATCTCACAGCTTTTATTAAGCAAACGTGACATAACCAACCACATAGTGGCAAGTGACCGAACAGCTGCTTCCCAGCTAAGAGACGCACGGGACATGATCCTCGGGGCTCTCGATCCTAAAACCCGGGTCCGTTCGGGGACTGACACAGTGAAGCAAAGGGGGTAGATAGGGAACGGAGACGCTGCGAAGACGGAGGGGGCGACTGGCCCTCGGGGTTTCCCGGCGGGGGCTGCTTCCTCGGGCAATGGTGACGTCTTCCTTCCGCCCCCCCTGGGAGCCGACGGTCGCTCGGCGGTCACCTAGTAACTGTTCTCGTGGCCGGCCAAGGTGTAGAGGTTGCTGTGCGCCGTGGGGTTGTCCGTCGGCCTGCTTTCCAGCACCACCACCCTATGAGGCAAGCGGAGGACCGGGAAGTCCACGGTTAGCTGCCGGCATCTGTTAGGCTCGCCTGCCCACACCACACCCATAGCACTCCCCCCGCCCCGACCCATATCTTCTCACAAAGGAAGGTCAGCCACTGCGTTGCCCTCCAGTCGCTTCTGACGTGACCCTTCCTAGTCTTCCAGGCAGACATAGACAATACTCAGGTGTGGTTCGACATTGCCTTCTTCTGGGGGCAGCTCTGGGACTATGGTGCAGCTGGCCCAGGGCTACCCAGGCTGGCTTTTCTCCCAGGAGTCCCAGCGGGAGAACTGAACTCTCAACCTCGGGCTCCGAAGCCAGAGACCTCAAACTCCCTGAGCCATCCAGTCAGCCTGCACGCCTGCCAATGCAAGCTTGAGGTGAGGAAACCTTCTGCCCAGCAAAGGAGATGCGGGCAGCTGCCGACAGATATGGAAGTATGCAGTTGTTTTCTGGCTCTCAGTTTTAATACTGTCCTTGCGGCTGGGGCAGTTCCCACACCCTGCAAGGCCCTCCAATGCTCTCCAGAGTTAAATACGGGTTTCCAACTAGATGTCTAAGAAGGCAGTTCATGCCAGGATTATTTGCACGAGTCAGATCACTGGCACAGAAAACTGGCCAAGGCAGGCTGATCCTTAGGAAGAGTTGGAAGTTCCAGCTGCAGTCTTTCTCAGATCTCGGAAATGTTACTTTCTGGGTCTAAAACCCCCAGCCACTTGTAGTCCCCAAAAAAGTAGAGTCCCTAACTATCTGGGGTCCTTTCTTTCAAGAATACATCTTCCATTGGGCGGAGGGACAAGAGGGAAGAAAGCTAGCCTGTCAGGGAGAACCTAGTGGGCTATGTTTCTATGTGCAGGGAGTTTCCCTCTGGGTGGAAAGTGCAAGCAAGCAGGCTGGCCCACTGGCGAGGCTCGTGGTCCACCCACTGCAGCCGCAGGAGATCTGGGCGAGGGAGCGGCTGCTCCTGGAGAGATTGCCGGACCAAAACTGCCGACAAGCTTAGCCAGCCCAGTTGATGCTAAACCCCGAGAGGGCGACAGGCGTCCTGTTCTTTGCTTCAGACGGGGTGGCTTGGCAAGAGGCTTGCCAGGACCCCTTGCTCAGCTTGTGCCCCAAGCCAGGAGACGCTCCCTGCTCAGCTTGAGCACTGCTCTGCTCCAGAGGAAAAACCCGCCCTCGGACCAGCTGTGATGCCAACGCTGGGCCCTGGGACCGGGTTTGGTCAACAGATGTGTCCTGCTTGTTCCAGAAGTGTGACTCCTGGGAAATCTTGGTACGCCTTAAGACAAAGATCAGCCCAACCAACGCACCGGCACTATATACACACGCACAACAGGACAATTTAGGGGCACAAGAACAACACGCTCCCCCCCCAATGCGGGAGGCACAGAGGATAAAGCCAACGGAAGGCCCCCCCTCCTCCTGAAATGGCCAGCTTCCCTTTATGAAAAACTGCAAAACTGCTCTTGCTTTCCTCACCTGTCAGAGCCCAATAAGCGGAAGACCCTGGTTTCGTCAGAGATTTCCTGGGTTACCTACAAAACAGAGGGAGAGAGAGAGAGGGAGAGAGAGAGAGAAAAGGCAAGGAAGTGACTGATGGAAAAAGTGGAAGGAACAACGCCTGTGAAGATGGCCAAGAAGGACCCACACCCAGAAATAGGTGGGGTCCCTTTTTAATCCTATACACTCAAGAGGAGTCCCAGCTGGTTAGATCTGAAATTGATAAAGGGTGTTTTTTTAAAAAACAAACAAACAAACTACAACTCCCAGAATGCCCCTCCCACAGAATAACTGAGAGGGAAGGGGGCCTCTAAGGCCATCAAGTCCAACCCCCTGCTCAGTGCAGGAATGCAAATCGAAGGAGATCTGTCAGCGGGTCGTCTAAGTTTCTCTTGAAGTGTTGGAGCACTCGACCGTCGTACTGCTCTAACAGTTAGGAAGTTTATCCTGATATTCCACCGAAACCTGGCTTCGTTTTCACTTGAGCCCATGGTTGTGTGTCCTGCACTCTGGGATGATCGAGGGCAGATCCTGCGCCTTCCTCTGTATTTCATGTCTTTGAAAAGCGCTCTCCTATCTTCCCTCTTTCTCCCAGCCTATGGGCTGGATCCTGGAGAGTTAATCTCCGGAGTGCCTCTTTCCCGGGTTTGTGAAAGGAGGGCTCCGAGCAACCACCCCTCCCTCCCTCCCGGAGTGATAATTTTCACTCCTTTGTCAATGTGTTCAGAACTGGAGGCCAAAGATAAAAGAGTTTCTCTTTCGCTTAACATGAACGGCACTTGATTCAGCAACCAGGGCTACTTGACCCAGCAATTGGCCCACCTAGAACTGCTGGCTAGCTCAATGGCTGGGAGTTTGAATTCCGGCACTTGATTCAGCAACCAGGGCTACTTGGGCCAGCGATTGGCCCACCTAGAACTGCTGGCTAGATCAATGGCTGGGAGTTCGAATCCCCCCCACGGTGCCTCCTTGATAGAGGCTGGACTTGATGATCCAGAAGGTCCCTTCCAGCTTCTATAACTACTCTCTTTGCTCTCTCCAGGAGAGAGAGTTTTGTTGTCCCCCCCCCCGCCTGGTCAGCTGTCATTTGAGAGGCTCTCTGACTGGAGAGGCCAGTGATCATGTCTGTGAATTTCTAAATAAAAANCCCCCCCCGGTCAGCTGTCACTTGAGAGGCTCTCTGACTGGAGAGGGCAAGTGATCATGTCTGTGATCTTCCAAATAAAAGAGATTCCTGCTTTGGCTGGGGGCTGGGCTAGATGACCACGAGGTTCCCTTCTGACCCCATCGCCCCACAAATGGGCTCTCCTCCCACTGACTGTTCTTGTCCGAAGGACGGTAAGAAGATAAGCGGTCTCTGCATGTTGGAAGATGCAAGACCAGGGTTAGGTGGGAAGGTCTCGCACTCAAGAGGCCAGGGGTGAGCAGGAATCTTAGAATTATGCCATCGTAAAATCCAGAAGGGGCCTATGGGACCCTCGAGTCCAACCCCCTGGGGCTGAGGAGCCCGCTAAAAACACACTCACTCAAGAACAAAGAAGTGAATTAATCAGGAGAGCCCCAACTGGAGGGTGTAGAGATTTTGGGTCTGGGATCTGGGCCGTATTTACAGCCGAGGAGAAGGCAAACTCAGCTGACCCCTTTCTGTCCCAGAGCAAAAGCTCAATTTCCTTTTAATTCCTGGTAAAACCTGCCAGCAGCTTTCTCTTCCAAAGAAACCCGTTTGCTAAAAAACAAACGAACCCAACTGGTTAAAGACTCGGGTGTAAGACCCTTGACACTCTGCACATGTTCTATAAAGTCGGTGTCCTCTGGGAATGTAATGTGGATTGAGCCTGCTGGCTTCTGAATCAATTTAACCAAAGGTAGTTCTGCAAGAAATAAGAGCCTCCACGCCTGAGGAAGTCTATCTGCAAAAGAATGACTTTCTTAAAAGGTAAAAAATACCAACAAAAGATGGCACAGAGGGCAGATTTGTCAGGAACACAAGAGGGGCGATAACAACCAGCTATTTATTTATTTAAAATATATTTTTTTAAAATCCCGCCTTTCTCCTTAAAAAGGACCCAAGGCGGCTTACATCATTAAAAGGACAATATTTAAAAGCTAAGACCGTAAGTAAATGGCATTTAGAAGCTTAATAAAAGAATGAAGCAAGCATGATATGAGAAACGGGAAGTAAAATCAAGACTAAAAGCCCATTTGAAACAAGAGAGCGCAACAGTCCGTTTAAAGCAAAAAAAACCCCCCCCCCACAGAGCCCCCCCCCCGGTCCGGGCAGGAACCCCGCCTCACCGACTGACCTCGTTCGATTTAAAGCTTTTGCCCTGCATTCCGTGCTTCCAAAAGGCCAGGACACTGTCTTGAAGGCACACTGCAAAGAAAAACAGGCGAGAGGAGCTTAGTTTTCAGCTCTGCCATCAGCCAGAGAGGGTGGGGCCGGCTGCAAAGAAGTGGGACACCCACCCACCCCGCTTGCAATGCCTCCTCACCCCCCCTCCCAGTGGCAGAGCATGTTGGCGGCTGGGAAACCATGTCACGGAACCCGGGAACGTCCTGCCCTGCTCCCTCCTCCTTCTTTTAATTTTTTTTTCTTTCCTTGAAAAGATGTTTATGCCCATCGTTGGATGCGTGATTTTTTAAAACGGAGAGGTTTTAAGAAAAGGAATCCCCACAGGAGCCAACAGAGGCGGCAAAGGAGAAAGAATGGAAGACACGAGGTTGGTCGTGGGAGGGGGTGGTGAGAAGGGTCGAGCCCACGGTGGGTGGGAAAAGGGGCTCCATCCTGTATATCTCAAAACTGCAGCAGGTGGGTGAAAAAACAGGGCAGGAAAGAACTGCACGGGGCATCGTCTTGAACTGCAAGAGGGCTTGCTGTCCTGCGCGACGAGAGGAGCGACGGCCGACTGGATCCACTTTTTTCTGGACCGTGTGGCTCTGGCCCATCCAGGAGTCCCCCCCCCGGGAAGAGCATCAGGCTGCCAAGTGTGTGTCAAGAGACGCCCCTTGGGGGGACCACCAAGGTCCCTCCTCGACTCATTTCCTTCTTATCCATGGTCTCTTCTTCCGTTATGCAGAGCTGTGAGGCCAAATACCTGCCCGGCGGATCACTGCTGCCGTCGTCTGAGAAGGAATGGGGCAGGGGGGTGGCTGCAGGCCAGGCGTGGCCTATACAGCCCGCCGGCCGTGCTGCCACGGTGAGGTGGGTGCGCACAATAGAGGATTTTGTACCTTGCAGGGAAGTGTATGTTTGTGTGTGTGTGTGTGTATGTGTGCGTGCACTGATCCTGAAAGAAAGGGAGCGCTGTTGTTTCCAAAGAAGAGTTTGGGCCACTGAGGCACAGGATTGCCTGCCCTGGAGCCAAGATCACCTGCCTTTCGGCTTCACCAGCGACTCTTGTGATGGCCTGCAAGAACAGCCGTTTGGTCAATGGCCGCCTCTCTACCTACACGCCATGGCAGGCCTTGTGGGATGGGTGCCCATGGCACAGTCTCCAAATCCATCAGGAGCCCCTAATGAGGCTGGGGGAGAGGGACTTCCCCGACAGCAAGAGACCCGCCGGGCACAACAAGCGACAACGGAGGAAGAGAGTTTGCTCACCTACAGATTCAATGCAGAAGTCGAAACTCAGCTCCGAGGCTAGCTTCTTGCTCGACTTCAGTGTCCCTTGCAGATTCACGATCTTCACAAACCCTTGAGAGAAAAAAAGGAAAGGCAAACCCCCGTCAGGTTCAAAGAGTGCTTGCTGCTCCTGGGGGCAAAGAGGAGAACTTGGAGAGGAGAACAGAGCATAGCAGAGGGGAAGAGAGCAGAGAGCACCGGAAAGGAGAGGAGAAGAGAGAAGGAGAGGACAGGGGAGGAAAGCAAAGCACAGCAGAGCAGAGGAGAGAAGAAAGCAGAGAAGAGAGGAGAAGAGAGCACAGCAGAGGAGAGGAGAGAGCAGAGCAGAGAAGAGAGGAGCACAGTAGAGGAGAGGAGAGAAGAAAGGAGAGCAGAGGAGAAGAGAGCACAGAGCACCGGAAAGGAGAGGAGAGAGGAAGAGAGAAGGAGAGGACAGGGGAGGAAAGCAAAGCACAGCAGAGGAGAGAAAAGAGCAGAGAAGAGAAGAGAACAGAGGAGCACAGTAGAGGACAGCAGAGGAGAGAAGAGACGAGAGCCCAGTAGAGGAGAGGAGAGAGGAGATCAGAGAAGAGAGCAGAAAAGAGCAGAGCACAGGAGAGCAGAGGAGAACAGAGCAGAGAGCACTGGAAAGGAGAGGAGAAGAGAGAAGGAGAGGACAGGGGAGGAAAGCAAAGCACAGCAGAGCAGAGGAGAGAAGAGAGCAGAGAAGAGAGAAGAAGAGAGCACAGCAGAGGAGAGGAGAGAGCAGAGCAGAGAAGAGAGCAGAGAAGAGAGGAGAAGAGAGCCCAGCAGAGAAGAGAGAGGAGAACAGAGCAGAGAGCACAGGAAAAGAGAGAAGAGAGCACAGCAGAGGAGAGGAGAGAGCAGAAGAGAGCAGAGCACAGGAGAGCAGGAGAGGAGAAGAGAGCCCAGCAGAGAAGAGAGAGGAGAACAGAGCAGAGAGCACAGGAAAAGAGAGAAGAGAGCACAGAAAAGAGCAGAGAAGAGGAGAAGAGGGGGAAGAAGAGCACAGCAGAGGAGAAGAGAGGAGAGCAGAGCACAGGAGAGAAGAGAAAAGAGCAGAAGAGAACAAGCTAAGGCATCAAAGCCTAGAGTCTTCCCAGAATGTCATCTGCTACTGCAGAGACGTGTCAAGGCAACTTTAGCCGGAAGACAGCTTGGGCCGTGAGATTCCCCTGAACAGAGCTAGGAAAATTTCCTTTGCTTGGACTACAAAGCCCGGACTCCCCAGGCCAGCACAGCCAACCAGGAGCTGCAGTCTAAAACAGGGGTGTTCCCTGAGCTTTATTGATCCAGGAGGACAGACAACCCTAACCCTTCCCCCCCCCTCAAAGGATTGTTTTGATTCCTATGAACCTGCTTTGCGAGGAGGGCTTCCTTCTCTGGGGAGTCTTTGCTTTCTGAGATCGGCTGGGGGAGGACCTACAAGAGAAGGGAGGCCTTCCCAGCCCCCACTGATTCCCAGCAGCATACCCGGGGCCCGACCGTCAGCTTCCTCTCAGCCCGACCGGCTGGGCTTTTTCCTGGGCTCTTGCAGGCGTTTGTTCTGCCTGCGACTCACCCTCCCAGGCAGAATTTTACGGGGAACCTCGTTTCTCTTCCTGGTTGAACCACGGCTGCTGCTCTCTTCATTCCGCCCATTTTATTTTATTCCTCCTGCTACACCCACCCTTGAAAACGGCATGGGGGACCAGAGGGAAGGGCCATTCGAATCCCCGTACTTACGGTCCAAGCAGACCAACACCGTGTCTCTCTCTAGTTGCGTGACGTGGATGGCATCAAGCTGTTGGCAACCTTCAGGGGAGAAAAGTACAACAGGAAGCGGTCACGGAAGCCATCCCCGGCCTGCCACTAAATGCCAACGATGTTCCCCAAACTCCATAAAGCTGCCGCACCCCCAAAACAGCAACACTAAAGGTCCAGACAACCAGATTTCGTGGCATGGGTCAGAAATCTTCCTCACCGTCCCCCCCACCCAGTCCCTTAGACTGTCCTCTAGGGTTTCCTGAGGGTTGCCCATCATGTTGGGCAAGAGTGAGAGACGATCCCAAAGGAGGAGGTCTACTGAAGTTTCCAATGGTCATCACCATAATTTTTATTCACTCAGAGTACATATAGGCTGGGGATCATGGAATCTATAGTCCAATACATCTGGAAGGCTGTTGTGTCACAACCTCAAGGTGCAGAGGTTAAGCTACAGCACTGCAGTAAAAAAAAACCCCTCTCTGCTCATGACCTGCATTCAATCCCAGCAGATTCACGTAGCCAGCTCAAGGTTCAATCAGCCTTACATCCTTCGGAGGTGGGTAAACGGAGTACCCAGCTTGCTGGGGGGTTGTGGTGGCAAGGTGTAGCCTGCGTCATTAACTTTTAAACCGCCCAGAGAGTGCTTTAAGTGCTGTGGGTTGGTATATAAGCGGCACACTTTGCTTTGGATGAACCAAGCTCAACGGGGGGGTTGTGGTGGCAAGGTGTAGCCTGCATCATGAAGATTGTATACCGCCCAGAGAGTGCTTTAAGTGCTGTAGGTCGGTATATAAGCGGCGCACTGTGCTTTGGATGAACCAAGCTCAACAACGCCAACCCGAGTCTCACCTGCACCGATTTCTGTAAACCACGAGGAAGCAGAGTTCAAGTTGATCGTCTCGAACTGAACGACCTGGTTCGGTTCGATCCCTTTGCTGACCGCGACGCACACCATCGGGTACTCCTGTTCTGGGATCACCAGCATTTCGAAGACGTTCAAGGGAGTTGGCAAAGGGAAATCAAAGTGCTGCGAGGGGGGGGTGCCAAAACGAAGCAAACCAAGGTTAGACTGAAAAAGGATCAGCTCCCTCTCCTTACAGGACGGCTGAGTCTAAATCCGAGCAATTCCTAAATCTTTAGATTCCCCACCCTACGGCCAACCAGCGTTCCTGAAGGAGTTGAAAGCAATAAAGGATTCCAGTGAAAATCCATACAACGGCTACAGCATCACAATGGAATGATATCCTGTACACCCTCGGAAAAATCCCTGGGAAGTCCTATAAAAAGGAATGATGCTCTTTCACAGCCTTTTGAAGGCCAAAAAAGATGATGTCGGGGTTGATCGATGGGGGGGGGAGCTGGGACCTTCCCCTCCCAGGCAGGATCCTCCCCTCAAAGGCTCCATGCCTCCTGCTCCTTATTCCTTGCATCTCCGCACAGCCCTCTCAGACCTTGAACCGATCCCCAGGAAATAACTGGGGGCTGCAATTTCTTACATGTTTTTGGAGGTCTTTCTAGCTTCACCTGCAGCAAGTGCACCCCTTCAAAAAGCAATTAAGATACCAGCCCCCCGTCAAAAAACAAAATGTACCTTTATTAACATGAACTTCTGCATGGGTTCATACCACTGGAGCAAAACGATCCCCAGCTGTAAAGCTCCACAGAGATATTTATGGCCGGTATACGGGTTTCTTACTGAAGAAGGAAAACAACGGTCATCAACCCAAAATGTTATGATTGAGTCATTAAAAACCATCCCCTCCTCTCTACCACCAACTCTGCTGTGGGGCTGAGCTGGGTCCAAAGAAGCTTTTAACCTCTCCTGGGGAAACACATGCTTGAAGGATGATGCGCCGTTTGAACAGAGGTTCCATTTTCAGCCCAGTCGAGAGCCAGAGCTGGTTCAGCATCGCATCTGGTGCTCAGCGTGCTTTTTTTTTTTTGGCTCAGCGGTCACACATGAGGGGAAAACCCCTTCGCCCGGGTTCAGCTGGGAGAAAGCCCCAGAAGCTGTGGAGATCCACTCAAGCGGACAACGACTCACCTATACAACATTTATGGCACCCTTTTGTGTCCGGGATCTTTGTCGTTAAGGCAAATTTCCTGAAAGACAAGAATCCAGCGTTGGCAGCCAATCAGGCCAAGAAAGGGACAGGACCCCCACCAGCAGCCATGGGAGAGCCTAAAGACCACACGCCATGCCGGAATAAATCCACCCTGCTCCCCTTGGGCTTTCCAGGAGACAACACAGCCCATCCACTCACCTAGAAACGCAGGCCTCCTTATTTCTCTCTTCTCTCAATCCAGCTGTGCGTGCAAGTCCCCCCACCCACCCATCTGCCATGACCTCTGGAGACAATACCCCCCCCCCGGCCTTAAACTCCTGACCCTCTATGAGCCAAACCCCAAATCCCAGTTCTCCTCTCTCTGCACAGTCCAATGGTGTTCTTAACAAATAGGTGGCACGCGTGAATACCATTCTGCATTTCCCCCCACCTGGCACACGTCAGGTGGGCTGGCTTACAAATCCCATCACCCCCACCCAGCACAATTCATTTGTGGTATTCGCACAAGCACAGGTGGCGGGGCTGGCCCTTTGTCCGCAGCATTTTGGAAGGGGGTCGGAGAAAGCCACGGAGGGGAAGGTTCCCGGTTGCTCACACTAGCGAAGTGGAACCAGCGTCTGAAGAGGGAGGAAGCCTCACTGAGCAATGGGAAGCAACGGCCCAAGGAGGCGGAGGCGGCTGTGCTCCTCCTGGTCTGACCGTCAGCCTCCCGAGACTGTTCGGACAGCTCCCTTTAGGAAGCTGGACGAGGGAAGTCTTCTGGCCGGAGCCATCGCCGCTTTGAGGTTGGCTTCCCGGAACGAGGTCAATATGCCCCCAACGACTCAGGTAGAGCACAGCAAGACACACATGCCCCTTTCTGGCACCCAGCCCCCTTGTCATAAAAGTTTGATGGCAAGGTCGAGGGTGGGAATGGTGGCCTGCTTACCTGGGTAATATTCGGTCAGGGAATCGATGGGTCTGAATGTGAGCAGCGAGTCCTGTCTTTTTGGCTTGTTCAAACAGAGCAATGAGGTTGTGGGAGTACAACTGGAACGTTTTCCCTGCAACACAGAGGAAGAGGGTGGGGATGGGGGTGGGTCCTTTCCAGACTCTGGAGTATATTACAGGGCTCATAGGGGGGCGGGGTGTGTGTGTCGAAATGAGCAAAAACACAAGAAGCAAAGGTAGCACAGAGAGCGAGGACAAGGTAGAGGAATTACCTTCTAGAGAAGGACAGCCCCCAAATATCCACCGGTCGGCGTAGACGGCAGAACAAAAGGGGAAAAAAAGGAAAAGCATATAAGAGATGACCTTCATGGACAACATTGAGCCCAGTTAATTTCAGCACACCTGAAGAAAGGTGACCGGCGGCCTCTTACGCCGTTTACGTTCTTGTGAACAATGCGCTCCGCCGGTTCACCACCTACCTGAGAGTGACATTAAGGTGTTGTTGATCACATAAAGCCACGTGCAACGCCGTGGGAAGATCTAGGAAGGAAAGAAGCAGCACAGAGCCCAGTGGGTCACATAACAACACACACACAAAAAAAACAACAGAACAGGAGTGATTTGCTTTACAGGCCCTGAAGCGAGCTTCCATCCTGAATGTCACCTCGACTTCCTTTGGCTGAGCAAAATGCCCTTAGCAGGGATCAGGAGCATGAGGGCACCTCCTTAGGGGTGGCGGCTCTCTCGTCCGTCACCTCTGCCTTAATACTTGCACTGCTACTGGTGCCACCCGGTGCCTATTGAGGAGGAAGAACCTGGAAGGGTTCGTGGGGAAGGGGCCCAAAAGGCTCCTGGGCCCAACCCTCTGTTTAGCCCAGGAATCCGAGTTCATGTCGATTGGACAGGCGGCTGTCCAACTTCCTCTTGAAGGCCTTCAGTGCCTTCCGAGGTCACAGGTTCCACCGTCGTACTGCTCTAACAGTTAAGAAGTTTTTCCTGACATTCAACCGATAGCTGGTTTCCCTTTATCTCCTTCCCGGATAAGGGCACACATCTAAACATGGTGTTAGGGTGTTATGACTCTTGTGAGTGCTTGAGGGTTCCAGTCAAATCTTTATTTGATTCTAAGAAATAGAATCAAATAAATTGATTCTACCACTACCATCCTCCTCCCCGTCGTCATTATCCATTTCCAAACCTTCCAGTACATCTACAGAGACAGGGTGGGTCACAGGCTGAAATCCAGAAGTCATATGCAACTAGAGTCGGCCCTAGCGGGAGAGGGAAGGGTCTGCTCCATAAGCCTGCTCTCGTTGTGACTCACGACGGGATTTCGGCCACGGTGTGATACTGATGCATTTTTTTAAAAGCATGTTAAAATAATGGAGTCCTCATCACAGGAGGTGGCAAAGGGGAAGGGAGAGCCTCACTCTCCCTTCAAGAGTAGCCGCGTCTCAGAGTCAGAGAGCCCATGGTGAGCCCAGCAGCCCTCCTCCTACCTGCTCCATGGTGGCTTCGTGCAGCTCATTGAGGTTCAGCGTGTAAATCCCAATTTCAGTGCCAAAGATAATATACTGATCTGTAAGATGGCAGAAAGAAAAGCCGGTGAGCCTCTTTGAACAAGAGGGAGGGGGGGGGGGAAAGGGCTGCTGAGCCTCCCAAAGGCACCATGACTTAACCTTTTGTGTCCGGGTGGATCCACGACGTGGCGCAGTTGATCTTCAGAGGGCATCCGTCAAACACTTTGGAGAAGCAGGCTCCCATCTGGAACGGGAAGAGCAAGGTAGATGAAATATCCCAGTAGACAGCGGGATCTTAGAGGAGGGAGAGTTTGCTCTCACTGGGGGGGAGGGAGGGAGGGAGCGAAAAGAAAATGCTGCTTCGGCATTTGTGATTGCAACGCTTTCGCGGTAGGCAAAGGGAGACCATACTCCCACGATGTAAAAACTGTACTTTATTCCCCCATAAAAGCCTGAAAGGAGCTGGACTCAGGAAACTAAGCTTCCCCCCCCCTAAAAAAACATAGCCAAGAAAAATATGATATTCACACCCTTAAAGAAGGCTGGAAAGGCCAAGCCAAAATGCATCAAGAAGGCTGGAAAGGCCAAGCCAAAATGCGTTGGGCTTTTATTTTGGAATAAACTGCATACTACAGTGTTTACACCTTGGGATGGCAAGCCTTTCCTGCGCACACCGGATGCCCCTGTTCCTCTTTGCTGTTTGCAACTCTTCAGCATCAGAAAAGGGTCTTACCAGGACCTTTGGCGTCGGTGGCAGGCCGTTGATGGCTGGCTTCTGTGGGGTGAGGCACGAAAAGAAGAAAAAAAGGAAAGAAAAAGAGATCTCCATTAACCATGTGTCGTTCAATTACGAAAAAGGCTGCTCCTTTGGGGTTAAACCTTAAAAGGGGTCACACTGAATCCAGTCTGAAATATTATGCCTTGGCTTAGAGAATGCCATAAAGTTATCAAGAGCGGATTGGGCTGCTCTGTCCTGGTTCTGGCACATCTCTGACTCCTGCCGGGAAGAATGATCAATGCCATTTTCCATCCTGCCAAGAGCAATACAGAACGTAACGAATGGTTGCTCACACTCCCGTGTCAAGATAACAGTGGAAAATGCACGGATGGACAGCGGAGGCTGGCTGGCTGGGAGCTCAAGCGTGTAATCCTGCATGCATGCATTTCTGGAGAAACTGGGCGAATGTATTTGCACTGAATCCACGTCTGCCTGAGGCCATCAGACTCATTTTGGGGAGATGGCTGAAAGGTATGGGCTCAGGGAACCCACCACCAACCTGACTGCATGGGTCCAGGCACTTCTGGAGGCTTCTTAGCCCCTGGGGGCATTCCTGGCAGCAGACGCAGGCAAAGATCTACCCGGATCTTCCATCTGGGGATTTCTACACTCATCGAGATAAGATCCCCGATTAGGGCCTGGGCTTAAGACGGAATCACAGACCCCGTGCCCCTGCCAGTCTCGATCACCTGATGGGGTTGCAGCGAAATTTCTTGAGGCCTCCAAGCTGCAATCCTTCCAGTGCCAGGCTAAAGCAGTTTTGCTCTACCAAACTCATATAAGCTTAAAAAAAAACCCAACCCAGAGAGAATTCAAGAGTTTCGGCAGCTCTTTCAGTGCTAAAACTTCAATCAGGGAATGGTATAGCTGGGTCAGTCTCTCGCAGTGTGAGCGAGAGTTTCTGGTGGCTGTCTGAAGGGCGTCAAGCTTCGCCAGGGACCTCTTTTTCTGGAGCACAGCCTTGTGAAGACAAAAGCCTAAGAAAACGTGGTCACCTCCAAGCTGCCAAAGGATACTTTATTCGATGGGTGTTGTAGGTTTTTTGGGCTGTTCGGCCGTGTTCTTAAGGTTGTAGCCGTGTTCTTAATCTTAAGAATACAGCCAAGCAGCCTAAAAAACCTACAACAACCATTGGATCCCGGCTGTGAAAAGCCTTCCAGAATACATTGATACTTTAGTCACTTATTTTCTTGTGTAACGTTGGGATTTCACATGAGATTCTAAAGATATTGTAGGGTGGTATAAAAGATGTTCCAAATAAGCTTTTCATTCCGTTCTAACATACACACACCCTCCGATGTCCCACACCTTGTACTCAGGGACTTGCAGGCCTTTATGGTATGTTGGGAGTTTGGTGTTTTTTTTTTTTTTACAGAGGACGATGGGAATCCGCTTGCCGAGAGGTGGTGTGTGTGCGTGCCGCAGGGTTCAAAATGCAAAGAGGCTTCAGGATGCAAGAAAAACGACACCCTTTTCCTTCCCAGTCTTTAGAGACTAAATCTCTCCCCCACATACACACACCAAACAGAATCAATCTTTGATCCTTAGCACTAACCAGCACAGAAGAAAAGGTTTTGAGAGTAAGTTAAGACTTTAAAAAGAAAACCTTTCTAACACAGAGTATGGACAGAGTTCCTACTCCAGTCCTCTGAAGATGCCCATGGCCCCAGAGACTGGCGAAATGTCAGGAAGAACATCCTTCAGAACACGGCGAAAGAACACGAAAAACTCACAAACAACCATTAAACCTTTCTAACGTTCAACCATATAATGAAACAAAAGACATAAAGCACCCACCGGAAATTCCCGCTTTTCCTTCTTCCTCGGCAGCTGGGGCAAGTGGCCCAACCCGTCGGCATTCTCATCCAGTTTTGGTACACTGTCCCCATTGCCTAAATCAGACAAAATTTGAAATGGGTGTCAATGACACACACACGCACGCACGCACGCACGCACGCACGCACACACACACACACACACAAAGTGTCCAGCAAATAACTTGGGAGATCTGTTTAGGTTAGAAAACCAGAGCCTCAGAAACCTGCAATTTCCAGGTTCTTCTAGCCAATATGCAAAAAAGTAACTTTTCCAAGATCTTGTGGTGCACTGGTTAAACTGCAGTACTGTAGTGAAGACTCTGCTCACAACCTGGGTTTGATCTGAATGGTTTCAGGCAGCTGGCTCAAGGCTGACTCAGCTTTTTATTCATTCAAGATTGGTAAATTGAGAAACCAGCTCAGTAGGAACGTGTGTGCGTGTGTGTATGCCTGCACGCCATGTATAGCCTGCCTAAGGAAATTGTAAACTGCCCAGAGAGTGTTTCGAGAGCTATGGGGCGGTACGTAAAAGGCACACTCTTGCTCTTGCTCTTGCTCTTGCTCTTCTTCTTCTTCTTCTTCTTCTTCTTCTTCTTGCTTTTACTCTCTCCTAAATACGTACGAGGCAGTGACAGACTTTACTTTCTTGGGCTCCATTATCACTGCAGATGGTGACAGCAGCCACGAAATTAAAAGACTCCTGCTTCTTGGGAGGAAAGCGATGACAAACCTAGACAGCATCCTAAAAAGCAGAGACATCACCTTGCCGACAAAGATCCACAGAGTCAAAGCTATGGTTTTTCCAGTAGCGATGGAAGGAAGTGAGAGCTGGACCATAAAGAAAGCTGACCGCCAAAGAATTGATGCTTTAGATGCTCTCGGGAGGCCTTCCAGGAAGGATGCCAGACACAGAGAAAGACCAACCTGGCCTTCCTCATCAGCCCCCCAAAAGTTAAAAACTGCCGTTTAACCAATGCACCTCAAGAACTTGGAGAAGTTACTTTTCTGCCCATGGACTAGAAGGAATCCAGAAACTGCATTCCAAAAAGCGGTTAAACACACTTAAAAACGGCTTCCCTGCTTGCCTTCCTTTTCCTTCCCAGCCCCGTTTTCCTTTCGGGTTGTACCTATTAGACCATAAAAAGGCAGGGGACGACGACCGTGCCTTTCAGGATCTGTGCAGGGCTTAGAAAATCTGAGCCACTCATTCCATATGAAACGACAGTTGCATTGAAGGGCAAATGATCCGCAAGCAGTCCACTGCTCAGGACGGATCACCTTTTTCATGAGCAGACATCCAATACGGATATACGCAAGAAGGCTGTTGAACGAAGGCCAAGCTCCTTCTGGGATGGGCACCATGAGAAGCCACACACACACACCCCGCTTCCAAACCAGAGGTCCATTTCTGCCCTCCTAAAACCTCCCTGGGGCTGGGTTTTTTTCCCTTTGGGGGTGGGGCAAAATAAAATGCCTGGGGAAGAGACCCACACCTAATGTTTTTTTTGGAGGGGGATTAAAGGAAATACGGAACTCTTGAAGGCTTCTGGAAGCTGCGGTTCTCCTTCTGGGGCCAGCCTTCCCTCCTCTCCACCCCCCCGTCAGGGTCCAGGACCCCAAAGACCCTTATGGGCTGCACATCACCCACCCCAGCAACGTGGCTAGACAGGCGTGGAAGCAGCCACGGGTGTTTGTTTCTGCAAATCTTTTGCCAGTGGCCCTCAGGGGTTCCCTCCGATACGTCCCGGGCACTCCTGCCCACCTTCCGGGGCAGCTGTGAGCCCCGAGCAAAGGACAAAACCTAAGGCCCTTTCTCGGCTGTCAAACGCAAGCCGAGCGGATCCGCGGCACCAGCAGAGCCGTCTTTACCCAAGTCGCTGTATCTCACGGTGAGCAAGCCCGGGCTGCTGATGCTGCTGGTCATGCCGATCGGGGAGGGCTCCGTCTGAGGTCCACACACCGGGATGCTTTGCCGCCTGTGGCCATGAGGATCCGGGCAGTATTTGATCGTCTGCGACCTCTCGTCGTCCACAAGGCTCTCCTCTTGATAAATACTGAGCCGGGGCTGAGGCCGAAAGGGAGAGAAAAGATGTTTCGACGTCACCTTTTTTTGTTTCTAAACTGCAAGCCCCAAAGCAAAATCTGCACCAGGACTGCCCTGAACTGCCCCCCCGCCCTTGCTCTGATACAGCCGTCATCTTCCACAATTTTCTGTTTGTTTCTAAACTGCAAGCCCCAAAGCAACGTCTGCACCAGGACTGCCTTGAACTGCCCTCCTCCCCTTGCTCTGATATAGCCGTCATTTTCCACAGTTCTCTGCACCCCCCTCTCTGCACGCATGCACACATACATACATACACACACACACACACACACACACACACACACACACACCAAGGCATGCACACAGTTCTTTACCACTCCCGCCTAGAGTTCTCAGTCCACAGGAAATGAAGTGGGACTGCAACCACTAGGGAGTGCTGCCCTCCACCTGACTAGCAAAATCTAGCAGCCAGCCTGTTTTTGCAGCTCCAACATGTTAGTGGGGAGCTAGACAAGGGGAAGTGACTGGAAAGGAACAAGGGGAACAGGAGCAGCCCCGCAACTGTACGGGGGATACACGGAAAGGAACGACAGATGGAAACAGGGCGGTGTGGCCACGTCCCATGAAGGCTCATTTCCTGCCACCCGTGGCAGCTCATGGGACCCAGCGTGTGCCAGGCCCCACCGGGTGATCTACTGGTCCAATTCTGGATCCCCTTTGGATGGGCGTGTCTGGACTGAGAAGAGTGGATGGTGCTTTATAGAGATGTTCTGCAAAAAGCTTCAAGACAACTGTACAGGGGATACATGGAAAAAGACGACAGATGGAAACAGGACGGTGTGATTCTTTTCCTAAATATATTCCAAGGGGATACCCGTAGGGATCTGTGGCAAATGAAGAACCATTGGCTTTATTTGGCACAAGCTTTCACAGAACCAAAGGAACAAGGGGAACAGGAGCAGCCCCTGCAACTGTGTGGAGGATACATGGAAAGGGACGACAGATGGAAACAGGGCGGTGTGATTCTTTGGCTAAGTATATTCCAAGGGGATACCTGTAGGGATCTGTGGCAAATGAAGAATAACTGGTTTTATTTGGCACAAGCTTTCACAGAAGATTAAGAACAGAATCAGTAGAATCCTAGAATGACGGAGTTGGAAGGGGCCTCTTAAGGCCATCGGGTCTAACCCCCGGCCTCAAGGCAGGAATCCCAATCAAAGCAGATCTGACAGACGGTGGTCCAGACTTCTCTTGAAGGCCTCCGGTGCTGGGGTGCTCGCCACCTCCCTCTGAGGTCATGCGTTCCGTTGTTGTACTGCTCTAACAGTAAGGAAGTTTTCCCTGATCTTCAACCTAAATCCGGCCTCCTGCTGCTTGAACCCACTATTACGTGGCCTGCACGGACAGCAGCCCATATCATAATGGACTGACGTCAAGCTTATGCCAAATAAAAAGGATTAGCTTTTGAGCTGACACACAAAGCCTTTTAAATCCACTGCTGACTTTCAAAGACCTGCCATTTCCACACAGGTGAGAATCACGAGGAGTTCTCCCCTTCAAGGGATGAGAATTAAGCACAGGCAGACAGACACACACACTGACAGACACTCAGAGATTCACCTTTACACTCTTCAACCTAAATCTGGCTTCCTACTGCTTGAACCCACTATTACGTGGCCTGCATGGACAGCAGTCCATATCATAATGGACCGACGTCAAGCTTATGCCAAGTAAAAAGGATTAGCTTTTGACCTGACACACAAGGCCTTTTTAATCCACTGCTCACTTTCAAAGATCTACCATCTCTGCACAGGTGAGAATCACAAGGAATTCTCCCCTTCCAAGGATCAGAGTTAAGCACACACACATACACACACACACACACACACACACAGACAGACACACAAACACACAGAGAGAGAGAGAGAGAGAGAGAGAGAGAGAGAGAGAGAGAGAGAGATATTCACCTTTACATTCCTGGGTTCACTCACCTTTGGAGGTAGAGGAGGGGGTCCGGCCCGTTTCAGTGTTGATCTGAAGGTGTGCGGGGGGTGGGGGTGGAGAAACCAACAAAAAGTTTTTATTCCAACCTTGCGATGCACACACATAATGATGTTATTATTTCCCAAACATATCCAGAAAAGGTGGTTAGTTGGCTGACACGGCTATTTCTTGCCATTAAACTCTCTTGTTCTTTAAATGAGCCAAGAAACCAAAGAACACGGAACGCAGTAAACAAATGAGAAACACACAGAGCTAAAGGCCAGATCTGGAAGTTTCCCCCTTTCCCTTTAGGTCACATCCCAGACAGGCTTTCCCCGCCACTGGTCACAGAAATGCCTCCGCCCTGCCCCCTGCCCCAAAAAGCCAACTTTGCTGATTTCTCAAACCGATTTCCTGCCAAAGCCTTGGGGGGGGGGGGAAATCCTTTTTCTGCACTACAGCCCCCAGAATCCTTAAACCACCCATGATTGTTGGTATGGGGTTAGAGTCCGAGAGCTGCAGTCCAAAACAGCAACTCCTCTAGTTTCTCAAATAAGTTACTTTGCTGTAGTGTTTGGCAGGGCTCTGCATGGTACCAACTCTGAATGTGCAAGGAGGGAAAATCCCTATAAGGTCTGTGGCACCTGTACTGGTGAAAATATCTTTGAAAACGGGTGTGGGCCAAGGTGCTTGGAAGCCAGAGGCGGCTTGAGGCGGAGGGCACAGCCTTTGCAGGCAGAGGGCCAGGATGCTAGAACACGCGGTTTCCGCCCAAGCCGCGGGGGGGGGGGGGAGAATCCTTTTTCTGCACTACAGCCCCCAGAATCCTTAAACCGCCATGATCGTGGGTATGGGGCTAGGGTCCGAGAGCTGCAGTCCAAAATGGTAACTTCTCCAGCTTCTTAAAGAAGTTACTTTCCTCTATCCTACTGCTTGGCAGGGCTCTGCATGGTACCAACTCTGAATGTGCAAGGGGGGAAAATCCCTATAAGGTGTGTGGCGCCTGTACTGGTGAAAATGTCTTTGAAAGCAGGTGGGGGCCAAGGTGCTTGTAAGCCAGAGGCTGCTTGGGGAGGGGGGCACAGCCTCTGCAGGCAGAGGGCCCGGATGCTAGAAAGACGTTGAGCAGAACCCAACGCATTCACAGCGGGCAAGACAGAGGTCCTGGGTTTCTGGGGTTTCCATCGTTCTGCTTTTCCTCAACAGAGAAAAGGCCAACGCAGATACGTATTTGCAGATACTGTACTGCAGTGGGATTACACAGGGGCTACTCTCGCCTCCCTGGCCAAATATCTCTAGTGGACAGCTGTGTTTAAAACAGGGCTTGACACAATCCAAATTATGGGTGGAGAGAACCTCAGAGATCATATTCTCTGACCCTCGGCCGATACCAGAAATCCCTCAGAACCGCACCTCTTGGGAGGTGGCCCCCCGACCACGTCCCATGAAGGCTCATCTCCTACCACCCGTGGCAGCTCATGGGACCCGGCGTGTGCCAGGCCCCACTGGGTGATCTGCTGGTCCAATTCTGGATCCCCTTTGGGTGGGCGTGTCTGGACTGAGAGGAGCGGATGGTGGTCAAACGTGGCCCAGATCCCTTCTAACCACTAAATGCAGAGCCTTGCCCGGTCACAGAGAAGTGAAGCAGGATTAAGCATGGGGTGGACGGTGACTCTAACTTTATGCTGCTTTATACATCTGTTCTGCGGAAAGGCGTTTAAAAGCCAAATCCACCTGAAGCAGCAAAAAGCTCCAAGACAATCTGTTAAGCAGCTTTGCAGGTGGCGCTGCACACCTCTATCGCACACTTTGAGCGGGCAACCTGCCTCCCACGAGACCTCTCAGAGCAGCTGGGATGCGAGAGCAGCCCCCAGAGAACCTCCCCGGATGGAGCTGGGAGGGATCCGCGGAACGTGGGAGCGCCCAAGAGGAGGGCCAAGCAAGAATCTCTGCACAGTGCCAGGTGTGGACTCTCTGGGGTGAAGTTCTCCATAAGGAAGGAGCCCAAGCTTCCCCGAGGATCACAAAGCCAAGTTGAAAGGAAAGGCAATGTTGTTATGAGACAGCAAAGACGGGAGGGAGGGAGGGAGGGAGGGAGGAAGGAGCTGATGATGGAAGGAAGGAAGGAAGGAAGGAAGGAAAGGGAATGGACGGAAATCAAATGGGAAGAAGTCATCACTCACTCCTCAGCATCTTCGTGGCCATCGCCAAATTTGGCCAGTCCCCTAAATAAAAAGTTGATAAAATTAAAAAATGAATAAAACATATTTTTAAAAAAATCCAGAGTGAGTGTTGCACTCTTCCCGGGTTGCAGCGTCCCAGGACTCAAGCGTTCTGTTAAGTAGAGCAAACCGCCCCCCGCCACCACCACCCCCGAGTGAAAGATGCTCTACAGATCCGACTTCCAAAGGCTCCAGGCCGCGCTCCCTGAGCCTCCCCTGCAACCAATTCCCCTCCTCTCGTTCCACACACTGATACAGAAGGAGGTCACATACACAGGACCAAAGCTACTCTTACAAAGGCATCGTAAAGCAGACCAACCACTATTCTCACAACCAGGATTAAGGCGCTGCAATTTTAGGGTGAACATCTCTATACATCTGCTTCGCTGGAGGCCACTGTGGAAACGGGCAGGTTCCTAGATTGCAACGTATTCTCTCCGGGACCACATTAACAGTGGCTGCTGAATCTCAAAGGGTGACGAGGGTTAGCGCCTAGTGCAGAGGGTCGTCCACCCCCAGTCCGCGGCCCTTTGCCGGTCCATGACCTGAGCTGGACCGGGCCGCGAAGACAGACCTCC